AAACAAATTTAAAGTTAAAAAATAATTATTATTTTTAAACAAAGAAAGTAATAATAATAAATTAACATTAATTTATAAGTTAACATTTGTTGACATTATAGTTAACCATTATAAAAAGTTTAAAAACTAATTTTTTTATACATTAAAAAGTTAAATAGTAAGAATATAAAAGTTAAATTTTTTAATTTCAATTATAAATTAAAGAATTTAAATTAAATTAATGAATAGCAAATTACAGCAAGACATCACTGCATCCGTTTACATGGTCTGAGATGTTGTTGGAGATTTTGACTATTGATTTATATATAGGCCCACCTGAGAGGTAGGAGTGGACTTCGCTTCTCAGTGGCTGCTAAATGGGTAACGAAGGGACCCGTCTGAAAAAGATCTTCCAAGTTTTCTATTCCACCGCAAATCAAGGAAGAACTGAGAGAAGAGGAAGTCAATTTCTGGCATATTTACGTCCTTCTCAGATCATTTTCTATTCATGCACGTCTCAAATTATCTGAAAACAGTTAAAGAAAACATTGTAAGTCACCATTTACAGAGGCAATTTTAGGGTAATAAAGCAATTAATCACTGACCGTAATAAAGCCATCTTACTTACATCGTTGCTTCTCTTTGCATCAGCAAAAGGTGCAAGAACCCCGGTCAACGTTGTCGGAGCCGGCCCCGCTGGCCTCGCCACGGTGGCCTGCCTAAACAACCAATTAATCCCTTGCATACTCCTTGAAAGAGAATACCGTTTTGCTTCTCTCTGGACAAAATACTCAAGACCGTCTCCACATCCACTCACCCAGGCAATTCTGCATTCTCCCCACAAGCAATTTCCTGCCACTTTTCCCACCTATCTCTCCAAAAACCAATTCGTACAATATTTAGAAAGCTACGTCTCTCAATTCAACATCACTCCTCTGCACCGGAGACGCGTTGAGATGGTCAGCTTCGATGAGGGGAGCAATAAATGGGTAGTCAAGGCTAGGAACTTGAGCTCCGTTGAGGTGGAGATATACTTCGGCAGGTTTTTGGTAGTGGCAAGTGGAGGAAATAGCGACCCTTACATGCCGGAGGTTGAGCCACTCGACTCTATAAGAACGGAAAGGGGTATGGTGGGAAGAACGTTCTCGTTGTTGGGGCTGGCAATTCTGGTATGGAAATTGCACTGGATCTCGCAAACACGGTGCCAAAACGTCCATTATTGTCCGTAGTCCGGTGAAAGTTGATCTGATTCTCACTGGATGATGAGGTGTATTTATTTAGGACAATAAATAATATATTTTTTGGTTTAATACGTGGAAAAAAAATAAAATTATTGATTTTAATAACTAAATTAATAAACATTAATATATTTGTTGAATTAAAAAATATATTTATAAATTTTCACTTATTTATTAAATTTATAGTTTTATAATTCAAATTGTATTAAATTACAAATTAAACACCCTCCCAAGACTAAGGACTTAAACTCATTAATTATATACCAGTGTTTTGTAGTTCGTATCAGTTTGAACTACAAAATACATTTTTCCTTGCATATTCAAGCAGGGTGATGAATTTTGCAATGATGATGCGCGCAGGTTCAAGTTCTGTCAAGGAAAATGGCATACTTGGCAATGGAGTTGATGGTATTTTCCAGCTAGCGTGGTAGATTTATTGATGATGATGCTTACCAAACTTGGATATGGACCTCACCAACTACGGAATTAGTAGGCCTAAACAAGGTGCAGTTTTCTTCCAAGATGCACGTGGCAAGGATCCAGTTATTGATATGGGAACCATTAGCAAGATCAAGTCTGGGGAGATTCAGGTAATTATAAA